GTTTAACATGACAGCAAATGTACAATGTTTCGACAAGGTTTTGTCATGTTAAACTTATATTAAAGTTTTTCTTCATTACCCATTTAAGCCGTCTCCAGCCATTATTAGTCTCAAAGTGGGTTCCTCGTCATCGAATTTTAATATTTACTTAATTGCATTAATCTAAAGTTGCAGAAGATTCAGAAGTACATTATAATTAGCTTCTTTAATTCTAACAAAAATACCTTTTTGGTTGGTGTGGGCTAAAGACTTTAATGCTTTCGAGACAGGACACGGGTGAAAGGCCATGTCATCTTGATTGTTGACTCATACAAAATTTTATTTAACTACTATTTCATGAATTTATGTCAATAGGTTTGGTATCAAACTGTAGATTATAATTAAAATTTTAGAACTCTACATTACTCAATTTGTTAATTTAAAAGTAAATATTAAAAAACACAGATAAACATTGATTTTTGTGTGTCATGTGGTATGTTGAATGCAGCACTGGTTCAAATTAGATGTTTGTGAAGTCAAAAATACTAAGTCTACAGTTTCATATGAATTAGAAACTCAAATTACAGATATTGACAAGATATAAAATAAGAAAGTCTTTTATATTTACTATGATATTGCTCACATAATAAATCAAACACAGTAGCACCCTACCCATCTTTTTCCATTTTTGGAAATGCTCCCTTATTTACACTTCTATGTATGACACGAATAACCAATTGGAGGTTCAGAATGTCCCCCTAGTGGCTTTCTCAGCTTTTCTAACGTTCCTTCCACCATTGCTTTCTTTTGAACCAAGATTTCAATGAGATAGGTTGTGTCTTTAGTCTGCTCGATATTTCATATTTTTTAGACCCAAATAAAGCTTAGTTACTAAGTTTGATAAATTATAGTAGGATTCTATAGTATTAATGTAGTAATTTATGATTTTTTAGTTATTCAAAAGTATATATACAACCTAAAAAAAAAGACTTTGTTTCATATCCTCCAAGTACAAAGTTTTTAAAGGCTTAGCAACCTACAGCAAACGAGTACAAAGGTTGTAAATAGAAGAGATAATTGTTTGCTTACTTCTTTATTTACTGTTCTATGTTTTAGGAAATATAACTAAGAACTTATTTTAAAATAGCAATAATCTACATAC